GACTGTTTTGATGTTTCCAGCCGAGTTAGCAAAGTTATTATTATCCAAGCCTTCAATTTGTAGGTTAATCCACTTCCAACAAAGTTATTTAATGAAGTGTTCCTTCTGATTTCCATCTCCATTTTAGATATGATTAATCTGTGACTGTAATTAAACCTTTACTCCATCCAAAACACTTGAACAATTATAGACTTATATCTATTATTACATTTTTCTTAAACAAGTAGTCTAGCACTTACACCCTAATGTCCTTTTAAAGAGTTTCCGTCAGGTTTTAGAGCTCATCATAACACTGAAAAAGCTGATGAAAGTCATTAATTATATTTTTATAGAAAATTGACTCGTTTCTGTTCTTTACCTGTTAGATCTCAGAGGTGCAATTTAATAAAGACGTTCAAGATATTCTTTTAGAGAGGCTTGAATATTTTGTAGGAATTAAATGAACTGCACTAGGATGGCTTAAATGTTTCTTATCTGACAGATTTTAGTCTGTTCATGTTGATGATAAATCTTCCTCATCCTCCAGGGTTACCTGTGAAGTACCACAATGATCAGTGCTAGGACCAGTTCTCTTTACCAGATGTTCGCTCCCAATGGGTTGAATTATCAAACATTGTGGGATTAATTCCCACTGTTATGCTGATGATACTCATCTGTATTTGTCCATAATGCCCAACGACATGAAAACCAAGATGGCTCTAAGCTTTCTGCTTTTGAAATGCAGACAAAACAGATGTTATTCCCTTTGGACCAGAGTCTATGAAAATGACGCTAAATAGTCAAGCTCCTCACCTGGATGGAATTAAATTAATCTTGGATAATTAAGTAAAAAATATTGGTTTTATTTTGGAATAATGCAAAAATTGGAAATATCCTGTCCAGGAGTGATGCTGAGAGACTAGTCATGCATTTGTTACTTCCAGGCTGGACCATTGTCATTCTTTACCATTGGGAAGTCCACATACTGTGGTTAAAATCCTTCAGATGATCTAAAATGCTGCAGCCAGATTTCTGATGAAAATTAATATCTTATAGTTTGTATATTTCCCTAAAAGAGCACTTCGCTCTCAGTCTGCAGGTTTACTAGTGTTTTCTAGTATGGAAGGCAGATCTTTTAGTTATCAGGCCGCTCTCCTCTGGAACCAGCTACCAGTTTAGTCCATCAGGCAGACATGGGGTCTACTTTTAAGGCTAAGCTTTAAACTTGCCTGTCTGATATATCTTAAAGTTGGAGTTGCTCAGGGTGTCCTGATCTATCTATATAGTTATGCTTCTACAGGCTTGACTACGTGAGGACATAGGGAGGATGTTTCTTCAAGCTGCTTCATACTCTTTTCTCCCATATAGCAGTATTTCTTAGTTGATGAAGATTCTCAGTCATCCAGGTCATAGTCATTCCGTAAAAGTTCAAAAAATATCCACTGGACTTGGTTTTCAAGATTTGAAGACAGCTTCCTGGAGAGGTGGCAAAACTTCTTCAAATCTTGGAAACCAAGTCCAGTGGATTTTTTTTTTTACTTTTACAGAAGTATTTATTAGTTCTACCCCTACCTTTATGGTCTCTGCTTTTTCTCATCACAGTAGCTTTATTGTGTCTGGTGCTGTTTGGCATCCTAGAAGGCAATAGCTACCGTGGTCCTGCCATGAACACTTTTGATTATAGATGACAGAGTTGGTCCTGTTTTTCAGTAATTAGTCCTGTCTCTCTCCTAGAAAGAGCTAGGGGCTTTGTTTTCTTTGTGACAAACTATATGTGCTCTCTTTCAGTCCCTTTGGTATGAAAACTGTCTCAGAGCTTCCCTGCTTGGATGTTTTTTTTTCTAGACAGAGCCACCTATGGGGCTAGTTTAGAGTTATCTTTTCTAAGTATTTATGGATCAGTGATTCTATATGTTCCCTTTGTTTGTCTGCTTCTGTCTCCTTGAAACTCTGTTGGCCTCTGCAATGGGCCTGGTTCTGCTGGAGGTTTCTCCTTGTTAAAAGGGAGTTTTTCCCTCTCCACTGTCGCTGTGTGCATGCTCAGTGTGAGAAGTTGCTGTCGCATCACAATGCAAGCGAATATCGATGCAGTCAGCTGGCTTTTATTAAAAAACTTTGAACCAATCCAACTGTATGAATGGATTGAACTGTCTCTGTAATGACACATTGAGAGTTGATGAGCTGAATTGAATTGAACTATTGAGTGTACCAAATCATTAAACTGTAAGGACTCAGCTGGGCTGGTCCGTCCATGACGTAAACATCATCGTGAAATACATTTCTCTATTATTTTTGGGTGACCACTGCTCCATTTGATTACAAGGAGAATTTAAAAGGGGTAAAGCACATTTTTAATGTTTTGTAGCTTAGTGTGGAGGATACTTACGTTTTCTTGAGCTCTGTAATTAACTGTTCACCAGATCTCCATACCTCTGTCCAGCTGGGGAAGCGTATGTTAGTGTGTATCCAGCTGTGTATTATCCTCAGTCTCTTATCTGCTTAACCACCGGCCCATACTTAACCACAGCCATCTGTTGCCCATGAACAGAGCTGGCTGTGGGCAGCTTCTCTGATCTACATGCAGCAAATACCACTTCCTCTTTTTCTTTAACTTCCTTATTCTGAGTCATTTTACTCTGGATTTTATATGCATGTAAAAATGGAGATCCATTCATCATTTTGGATTCATTGACTAGTCTTCTCAAAATCCTAATTCATTCACCAGAAACCCAAATTTGTTTAAAATGCATTTCTTTCCTGAAATCATTGCTGTTAAAAAAATAAAATAAAATAAAAAAATAAACGGTTGGGTGTATTTCTTTTATTTTTACATTTTGCCCTTTTGAAATTCTTTTTAGCAATTAATCAGCTATGAGAAAAAGCAATTTGCAAACTTTTATCCAAAATAAATCTCACTATGAGGCCTTGTACCTAATACAAAACAGTATTTTTTTTTTTCAATTTTTTGTGTTCTGTTGTATTTTCTAAACATCACATTATTTTTTGTTGTTAAAGATTTTATAAAAGGACCATGAAAAATGTAAAACCTTGCATACAATTTAGTTACCTTGTATATGAACACAATCTAATGCCGTTTATTTAGTTTCTGTGTCCCACTTGATCTTACTCCTGTGCAATATGGCAGACTTTTATTAAATTAAGACATTTTCTAATCAGGAACATATTTTTTTTGTTTGTGGCGTCTGTAGTAGTGTTACATCAAGGAGCCACGCCCACAATAATAACGACACGTCACAGTGAGGGAGTCAGGGGCAACATGGACGGCTGTATGTTATGACTGAACAATTCATCGCAGGAGTGAATAAACATTATCGTGTTGTGCAACAGAGAGGTCTTTATGATTGCCATGCCTTCTGTAAAAACAAGGAGGACTTAATAAAACAGAAACAGGATTAACACTGAGCTCTGTGGCCCTTACAGGATATTAAATGTAGCTGAATAGTACAACAAAGTTTTAATTTGCCTTCATGGAAGATTTAATACTCTTTAAGCTGGATTCTTTGTGGCGCAGATTAGTTTGTTATTCAGCAATTAAAAACTATTGAGAAGGGGAACAAAACAGAAGAGCAAAATGGATTTAGATTGTGTGAAAATGAGCTTGTCCACAATGAGTTGATTCATAGAAACCATTGCTACTATAACAACAGTGTGCATACTGTTTTACTGCTGCTGTAACATACCAGTAAGCCAATGTCCTATCAGTTATAAAAACATTCACTGTTTAGACAGAACTGAAACCAGAGCTGTTTTCTTTAAACAACTCCCTCTGTTTTACATTAATGTACCTTAGGAATTCTTTTCACACCTTAAGATGCCGGTTTAGAAATCCAACCCTACTTCTTGATGGTATGTTCATTACTATAATTATATTTACACAGTTCAGACCGGTTGGCTAAAACCATCTCACGCAATCTGAGTAATGGGTTTGTTGAGGAACCTGAAATGTCTTTCACAATTTGAAGCCATCCTGATCAAATTATCAGCAGAGTGTCTGTGTTTTTTGTTTTTTTTGTGTGTGTGAGTTTTTTGTTCCTGTTTGATTGTTTGGAGGCGACAGCAGCAACTTCTTGGATGTGTTGCAAGCCAGTTGTCTGCTGGTGTTTGTTATTAAGGTGGGTGGGAGTGGCTGGGTGAGTGACAGCTATGTATGCATCTCTGCATGCTGTAAGGCGGCTGCAGACAGCCGGATGGCTCGCTCTGTAGGAGATTTTACATTTCAGAAGATTGTCGTAGCCACTTCCACACTCACACAGCAAAGAGATTCCCTCTGTTTACGTCAAAGGCTTTAACTCTGGCCCTCTTGTCTCTGTTCGGAGCAAAAAAAAAAAAAAAACACACTGTGGTCCTGCAGTGAAGCTATTGATTCATACTGAACATCTAGACAATAGTTTTGTCAATCAATGTCGCCTCCCTGTGAGAGGATGAATGCTTAGAGGGAATAGGACACTTTACCCAACCACTTTCTTTCTCTCACCTCTTTCTCTAACAGAAGTTGGTTGTTCGAGTGTTTGGATATTTTGGAATCAGTCTGTCCAGATAGGAATAACCTTTCTTTTTAACGTCATAAGTAATTTACGTTGCAACCCAGTATTTGAGCAGGTTTTTTTTTTGTTCATTAATATCCACATATGACAATTTTCTGTCTGTCATTTCTCACAGGAAGTCGATAGAGAACCTCGTGAGGCATTAAACTCCTTTTACAAAAAAATTAAAGGATCTCAAGATTATATTTCCCCTTTTTAATAGAAATTTCTGGTTTTTGATCTAGCTGTTTGTTTTGGATTAACTTTGGATTAACGGACCTTTGGTTTAGGTGTTCCTGTAACTATTTTAAAATGTTCTCCTGTTCCCATCTTACTGTTTGTCTTATTAGTTAATACAGCATGTTTTAATGGAGTAACTGAAATAAACGTTTGATGATGTCAGATGTATATAAATGTGTATATTTATCATGTTTTCTCTGCACCCTCTTTTCTTCATTATTTTCACATCTGTTTCAGGTGGGACCAGAGACATCGGGTCGGCGCTGACCAGGATGTGCATGAGGCATCGCAGCATAGAGGCTAAACTCAAACAGTTCTCACTGTAAGGAAACTCCCCACTTAACTTGAACTTGTATTGTAGCTTTTGACTAAGCAATCTCCCCACAAATATTAAAAAAGATTCATCATTTAGCTGTTGTTTCTACTTGCCTTTCACATGCTGACATTTCGGGTGAGTGGGTGACCGTGACCCTTGTTGTGGAATGCTGGGAAGAAGCCGATTTGTCTAGCTGCATGTGCATCTATAATGTCACAAAAAAAGATGCACACACCATACATTTCTGCTGAGTCTCGTCCCATTACCACACACATCTCAGACAAGAGGCTCTTTAATTTCACTTGGCATTTCAGTCCAGATTCCATTTGGATCTCCATAGCAGGCAGACCCCCGTACACGTGGGGGGCTGCCATCAACAACCACCCACTGACACGCACTTTGCGGAGATGTCTGCAAGAGGGAAAAGTCTAATTTTAGCTCGACTCACTAAGGCTGCAGCTGTCTGCTTTTCACACACTTTACAAATGTGTCTCAGAAGACGTTTATGCCTGGGTAATGATTGACAGACATAACTGCACAACCTTAGTACTTCCTCCTGTGATGCATAGACACTTGCAGACTCTTTTTCTCACAGTGTGGGTGTTTTTTTTTTTCTTTATCCCTCCCAGTCTGTCTGTCTGTCAATGATTGATGTAAGATTATATGCCACGTAAATAAACCAGACTGATGTTTCTGCATTTTTCATGTCTGACAGTCTGCTTTCCACTGCAATCAGGTGATTGATATTCATCTGTCCAACATTGTTTCCACAAACTTAAATGTTCTTTATTTCGACATGTGAAATGGTTTTCTTTTACAATCTTTTACAAATAAAAATCTGAATAGGTTTGGCATGAATTCTTATTGCGACAAAGCAAATCAGTAGGCTGTACCCTAATCAAGCTAAGACAGGTTATTGACTGGAAAACTGTTTTCTAATCAGATAACTGGATTGTATTTAAGGTTTTTAACATATTGGGGGCAGAAGTCAAGTCCATAAGGTGGTACGAATAGTTTCTTAGGCACAGTATTTATAAAAATGAATGTTGATTTTGCTTTTTATCCTTCATTGATGTCAATATCGCTCAATCTTGCAAAGGCTTCCTACTCTAGAGTGGATCAGAGAAACTACAGCGGTTCGTTTGAAGGTCATTTGAAATAATCTGGCCTTGGATCAGAGATGACAGCTCTCTTGTTTAACAGATGCTTCCAGGAGAATCTGATCAACCCTCTCCAGGAACAAATGGAGGAGTGGAAAAGGGGCGTCAACGCTTTAGACAAAGACCATGCAAAAGGTAATGTTTTCATTTTCATTACTTTTATTCACAGTTAACATTTATTCACTGTTTTAATTGTTTCTGATCACGCTAAATATTTAGTATAAAATGTGCAACAAAATAGTGAATTGACCCCGGTTAATTGGTCTGTTTGAACAGAGTATAAACGAGCTCGACAGGAAATCAAGAAGAAGTCCTCAGACACGCTTAAACTTCAGAAAAAAGCGAAGAAAGGTGAGAAAATCTTTCCTCATGAAAATCTGCCATTATCATTTGATGTTATTAGTTTCATGTCTGTATACAGTGGAGACAAAGTTTCACCATTTCTACAAGAAAGTTGCTCTGCTTATAGAAAACCATGTGTATGAAATCAGATGTCTGTTCATCAACTACATTTTATCTATATTAGTGGTAAGGTTTCTATTTAGCTATTGACAAAACAGCAACATCTGGAAGCATTGAACTTAAAAAGGTGAATTCATTTCACACTGTTTTATGTAACAGCTTTCCAACTGCAGGTGAGTTTATTGAAGCAAAGCTGCTGTTTTTGTCATAGGTGGCTTGTTAATGTTAGCCTAGCCAGACCTGAGGCATGTTTATTCCATTGACCTCTTGGTGAATTTGTCTTCTTTAAACATTTAGCCTGGTAGCTGTTGTGACTCAGCTGTTAGTGACCAACTGTACACCATCTGTGTTAATATATGAGATACAGTGGTTTTCTATGAAGTATTAATGTAATATTTTATAAGATGTATGTATTTATTTCAAGCAAGGCTGGTAAAAAAGTTCCAGAATAAATGATCTGTCGTGGGGAAACTTATCTGCTTTTTTTTATTTGAATGTATAGATAACAAAATTTAGCTTAAGTTTTATTAAACTGCATGTGTTTTAAACAAGTGTTTTCCCACTGATTAGGTTGAGCAGCTCTAGAAAGGCTAAACATTGCCTTACTTGGTAAACACTGTGAGAAGGAAGGGGCCTATTCCCTCTGCAGCTCTCTTGGCCGAGGTTCTACATACTCGCTCACCTAACTGGAAAATTAATACTGTGCTATAAAAGACAGCTGGTTTGCTATCATTGTGGCATGTTAATGGATTTGCAGTGGTTTCAGGTTTAAATGAGTTTTTGGAAACAAGAAACGCAAATAACATACCAAAAGGCTGCAAAGACGTTAACTCGTGAAATACAAAGAGGGAAATTGTTCCTGTTTGGTTTACCCGTCTTTTGTAGTGCAGTAAGACTGTTAAGATTGGACTAAAGGATCTATTCGATCTTTGCAGGAACAAAGCTGCACTAAAGTTAAATCAAAGTCATTCAGTATCTGCTTTGATAAAATTTCCTAACATAGTGTAACTCTCCATGCTTGAATCATTAAACCGTTTTAGAAGCAAAAGCACACATTCATATGATAGGTTAGTGTTTAGAGCTGACAGTTTCTATGTTCATGTGGATCTTTTTCTCCCCCTGCCCCCCTGTGGTTCTGATATTCTTCACCTATTGCTGCTCTGCAGCAGACAATCATGGTAAGTCATTTTATCGACAATATTTACATCGATCATGCTAAAGTTCATCAAGCATCCTGGTTTTTTAGATAAATTTACTAATGTAGGTTGTGTTTTCTGTAATGCATTTTCAGTTTTTGTTTATAGAAACTGTAGCAACATGTTGGTCCTATTTTAAGTGCCGGCTTCTTTTTTTAGGTTCACATATTTAGGCTATAATTAAGGATTTGGACTTCTTTTCATTTTTCCCCCTTGTAAACGTTTTAGCTTAGAACTAAATCACAAAATTTTACTTAAACACATCTTTACTTGTGTAACACTAACATAAATGAGTTTAAAAAATGCCCTTCAGTCTGAGCCATGAAATCTGGTAATGCATCATAAAAAGAGGACTAACTAAAGTTTCAAAAGGAATCCCCCGTCTGCTTACACATCTGCTGTGTTGTTAGCTATACATGGTTCTCATTCTAGAATGATGGTGTTTAAGTTCTGGATTCTTTAGGTCTGGAGTAGGATTCTCACCAGGTCCAATTCTATGATATATATCTATATTTTTCTATGTATGTTTACTTAATAAGCCCACCCCTTTTTCTTTGGATGTTTTCTCCATGTTGGAGGCAAGGTTCATATCTCCTCTTGAAACAAAAATCAGATTGACCCAGAACACTGTTTCCACTGATTTTAGGCTCATTAATAGTCAGTTTATCGGCCTAATTTCAATTTAACTTTGACATATTGTAACCAGCGTTTTGTGCCGAAATATATACCGGACAGAGTCCTGGTCGACGGAGCGCAGATGTCAGTCAGAGAACGGATATGCTCATATAACATCAGCGTAGTATCCTGAACTTGAGCGTAGCGAGGACAAATATGAGCGTAGTGGCCTGCTAAGCTGATATGTGCTAGAAAGAAAATAGGAGTACATAATACATTTTTGTTTCCTATTTTTACTTCTCATCTTACTGTTAAAGATTGGATCTGTGTCTACACCTTGAAGCTTATTCTCTCTCTGGAACTTTTCCCAAAAACAAATCACTCGGGACAAACTCTTAAAATAACACTGCATTATGTATTAAATAACCATGAGACATGATGACAGATTTTGATAGAACTTGTAATCTTACTCAGATCAGAGAAATTGCTTAGGGTTACAGAAGGCAGCTGATCAGGCTCACCTCTCAGAAAGTGGCCCCAACAAACAGGTAGAGAAGCATTTTATACTTCAGTGTACCATATCATCACATCGTCACATAAAACACGTTTGCAGATGAGGAGACATCCATGGCTCCAGCCTTATCAAAATATTACACTTTGTTCTTAGACACCGCTCTCATTCCATTCCCAAATATTTGCCACGTACAAAATGAAGATTATAACTGTATATAGCCGGACTGAGGAACTGCCATAATTAGATAAACTGCTGGGGAAAACATCAGTTCTGACACGCAAAAGGCAGCTAATATTAAGGTATAATAAACTCACACATCATCAATGATAATTATCCTAACACTACTGACTAAAAGTTGAGTCCTACCTTTCCCCCTCCATCAACCATTTATGCCTCTACCTGTTGGTGCAAACCCTGGAAACTAAAAGTATTTCTTTATATTCAAATATGAGATTTTGACTTTTAAAATTGTGCAGGAAGCATGAATAGACATTTTATGACATAGAAACTAGAAGAAAATCTTTGCTTTCGGATGTCTAAGCTTTTGCAAACCTTCTGGACTCTGTTAAAGATGACATCTTTGACTTGGTATGTTCAGCTTGATTAGCCTTTATGTCAAAGCTTTTCAGCAGCCGAGAGCTTAGAGCTTGGGCCTTTTGACTAAAGGCAACACTAGACGGCATATTTTATCTTATTATTTTTTACGCTTCCACTCTGAGGGTAGTGCTATGCCTCATCTCAAAGAGCTCAGCCTTTGAATGCTGCTGCACCTGGAGCCAGCAGCTTGAGTTACTGCAGTAATATTCACCTGAGGGGGAACAGCTCTCAGTCTTCTCTCTGTATCTGCATATTTGACAGTGTAACTACAGCAACTGATGCTGTTTTATGTGTTGCTAGAGAATCAAACCTTCAAGTTAAATGAGAACAGTTGGTAATGGGGAAAAATCTGCTTATTATCCTTATTTAATCAGTTCAGCCACTGTTTCCAATTTATGTACAATGGAAGACATCAAAAACATGAAGCCCTTAGCAGATGAAAAGATTTATTAAAATTAAATAAATATTCCTTTTGCAGTAAAGAAGTGATTTTTATTTTGTTAAAAATAGCTTGAAAAAACTGTATATCCTCATCAATAATCAGTGGAAAATAATGGATTTGCATTCAATAGTCCAACCCTTTTTGTAATTCCTAACAAGCTTCAAGCTTCTTTTTTTTTTAAACTGTTTTCTTTTGACTGCTTTTCTTTAGTTAAGAGGTCTAAGCCTTTCAGGTGGAAAGGCCTTATTGTCATCACCCTAATCTTTAGCCTTGTTGATCTAATCGTAGATACTTGAACCCATTTTTTTTAACCAAGCCGTGTTTTAGTTGTTATTTGCGATAATCAGATTTAATAAAATTTAATGTATATGTTTATGCATATGATTTAAAAGAGAAACATTTGTTCCCTCGAGAGGATAACGTACTATCTGTCCTTCCAGACAAGATCTGATGTTTTCCTATCAGTCTCATGAGAGTGTTTTTTTCCTGACCCAAAAGCCCAGCAGCACTTAGAAAAAGTCTAAAATTACAGTCTAATTTAATCAATGGCCATGTGAAAGATGGAGCAGTTAATCCCATTTGTCTCTGCACATGTTTCTACATGTGTGAAGAATGAGGGACAGTTCCACCCCTCTAGTCAAATCACTCAAAGCTGGTCAATCCTGTAGAGAAATGCTTCAAATCTGAAAAGTCTGAGTGGCTGTGCCTATAGTTAAAGAGGGACACATTTTTTTTTTTTTTTTTACATTTTGTCCCTTGATTTTACGTTATTACATCATGTTCTATTCACCCATATGAGATTTGTGTCATTTGGAGCTGTTCTGAAGATATTCGGTTAGGTTATATCCAAGTAACGTCTTCCTATGGGACACGACTTGAACAACTAATCTGTTCATAATTTATTCTTTATGGTACACCAGCATTCATAACATGTAGGCGAATGACTGCCCCCAGACATCCGCGGTTATATTTTTCATATTTATATTTTTTTTAAACACAGCGGCGCGTGTATGACATCATCCACATACCGGACTGGAGTTGTGACAAGCAGCCCGGGCCACAGGCAGCTACGCTCCACCCCTTCTATGCATTCGGCTAGCTGATCTGAATCGGTCAATTCCATTTGGAGAGCGAGATCATCTGTGGTAGTAGCACTAGACATCAGGCATTTGAGTAAAACTAGCAGCAGTTCAGCGGATAGGATGAATGATTGGTAGCCGGCGCACGCGGATGACGTCATACACGCGCCGCATTGTTTTTACTTGGATTACAAAACCGAATATCTTTGAAACAGCTCCAAATGACACAAAACATGGGTGAGTAGAACATGATGTAATAACATAAAATCAAGGGGCCAATGTAAAAAAAAAGCGGCGTTCCCCTTTAATGGACACTCCTATTGTACAGTGTTGGGTGTGAATATTATTCTGGATCTAGGGTGAAAAATAAACACATTTAATAACTAACAGTCACCTTAATAAGATATAATAACGTTAACAGCTTTTTTGGTACCATGTTCTAAAGACTGTTCTTATGGACAGAACCAATATTTGTGTTTTTTTTATCTTTATGGCAGGCCATTTTAAAGTTATAAATTTGATTAATTGACTTATTCAAAGTCTATCCAAAAGTTAACTGTATAGAATCTGAGCTTATATTTTCTTGTTTTTTTTATCAGTTGTGGGTGTTTTTGTTTGTTTGTTTTTTACTGAAAATGGCAGCAACATAGCCTGTGAAGGTCCTTAATCTTCAGTCTAGTTTGTTGGATTGTAGTTCAAAGCAGGTCGAGGACAGTTGGCCGCTTTGTGGAGTAGTTTCCCCCTTTTTTAACCTGTATGTTGGAATTTCATCCCTGCTGTCATTTTGGGCCCTAAACAAAGGATGGTGACAAATTACAAGCATGATGGATGATTTAAAAAAAAACCCAGATAACATATTTAATTTCATAAAGATCTATTTTAATTTCTTTTAATCCCTTTTTCATCCCTAAATATGACAGTTTAGAACCTGCCACCAAACCAGATTACCTCTGATTAAACTGAGGTAAAAGAGTTTCCTTGTATAGCAAACCTTAAATCAGTCTGTATTCTTTTAAAAGGGATCTGTAAATCATGTAAAGATTATATGTGCTGTGAATTGGTGATGCATAAGTTAACTGAAATGACCCGCCAGCTGTCGGACAAGGTTTATCTGATACATATAACTATTTCATTACAGTAGGCTAAAAGCAGATTACAGAAAATTACTTCAAATCAGAAGTAATTGTTCAAAGGGAATATGAAATGTTCCAGTTTTGGGACACAAAGAGTTTAGAGAATCTCCAATGACAAAATATTGGCTTTAAAACTGTAGAAGAAGAAGTTGGCAAAGTTAAAATCGTCAACACAGAAACTTCTGGAGCTGTTCTATGTCATTTTAATGGATTCATCATTGACCTGTAAATGGAAGATTTCCCAGGCTGCTCTATCTGTCTTAGGCAATGTTCCTCAACTTAAGGCTCTGCTTTTCCAAGACCATTTTGGTTATGTCAAGAAAGCTGATTGCCACTGCCACATTAAATGAGTTATGAAAAACAAATCTCTAAATGGAACATGTGCCAATGAGACATCACAGCTTCTTTTCCTTTAGGATGGAAGAGTGTTTCTTCTCTATTAAAGTCAGCTCAGGCCAACTTTTTTAAACATAAGGCTTACATTTCCTTCTCAACTTTGCCTGAACTTTAAAGTCAAGCCTGCCTTCTGCAGCGCTTATGTGTTGTCTTGACATGCAAAATGCATTAAAGCAGCTAATTTGCTTTCTGTAGCTTCAGCTGTTGGAAACTATACTTTATAGATCCTAATCACAGATGGTTTTCACATTACATTACAGTAATGATAGAGATGTTTATAATTAGTGATTACAGGAGTATTTGAGGTGTCAAATTATAAATAATGTCCAAGGCAACCGGATGGAAAAAGGTTTTGCCTGCAGGTACAATGATGACAAGCAAGGTCCTGCTGTGGAAAACGGACTAATAAGTGAGGCCTGTTCAGATTCAGTCATACCCTTAAAAAGAAAGTTCATTTTGGATCAATTTTGGACAAAAAAAAAAAAAAATGCAGAAGTTTGTTTTTTCCAGTAAGATTACAACCAGTTTACTGCTGTCCAAAATTCTTGCTTAACTCATGTTAGCATAAGAATAAGGGAAATTAACTCTTATATTCAATTTACAGAGGCACTCAACTTCTGTCACATTAAATTTATATTAGATTAAGACTGTGCCGTTTTTACCCCAGCCCTTTAGGTGGCGGTAAAGCGCTTTTTGTGGGTTTCCCGCTGTTCTGTCCGATGAGCATACCCAGTCAGACCAGCATACCCATAGTCAATACCCATTTATCCCTTTAGGTTATCCCTTTAGTTTTGTATGAAAAATTAACTTTAAACTACCTCAACGGGTGCTTATCCCTTTAGTCATGTGCAAAAAAAATACATTTTTATTACTTTTTGGTCTTTATTGATCTCATCTTAAATGTTTTTTTGTTTTTTTTGTTCATGACTAACGGGATAGATTCCCGTTGAGGTAGTTTAAAGTTTATTTTTCATACAAAACTAAAGGGATAAACGCAAATCTGAAATTTTGCGCATGCGTATTGACTATGGGTATGCTGGTCTTACGGGGTATGCTCATCTGACTGCACCCCGGCACACAAAGGTCGCAGTTGTAGTTGTAGTTAGCATACATATTTATGCATGCAAGTAGCTGTAAGCACTTTTACAGTCATGTGAAACATCTACATGTTTGTAGTTAGCTTTTGCAAAATTGTTGTGGAAGGCTTCAGATTTTTATTTACATTTTATTAAATCCTTATCTTACATTGATTTGTTGGATAGCAATAAAAAAAAAGTATATGCTCCCTGAAATATCTTATTTTTAAAGATTGTTTTTCAGATATTTCATACAAAACTCAGAAAGCCTGAAGCTCACCACATAAACATGTCACTTTGTAGTAAAAGTATGATATTTACCTCTTGAAGATTCAACTTGGTTTAGCTATGGTTCCTCTGTTAGATTTAGCTATGGACTTTGACTTGGCCACTCAAAGCATTTCTTTTCCAAGCCATTCTGAGGTGGACTTGATGTGCTCTGGGTTATTGACCTCCTCAGCATTAGCAACGTTTCTTTGAGCTAAAAAGCCATGAGCTGATGGCCAAGCATTCAGCTTCAGGTTTAACCACTGAGGATAATTCCATCAGTTAAAGCATTGTGTCCAGGTTTTTAAACAGCAAAGTAGTCCCAGACCATGACACTTCCACCTCTATGCTTTAGAAATATAAATACCGTATTCCAAGTTTTCTTATTCCAAAACACTGCTGGGATTTTTTTTCAAAACCAGAAGGAAGCGGTAAGGGGGCCATTACTACTTGTTTTGTTTTTTTTGTTTTTTTTACAACATTGCATGCATATAGAGTAAACCCCACTCATATCCAACTTCCTTTTTGTTTATTTATCATGTTCATCTCACATGAAGGAAATTACAACCAACGTCCAGAAAAGAAAGCAGTTTGTTATCCCAAGACAGACATATGAGCGGATAGAGACCACAGTCCTTGATATATTAAAGTCAAAACATGTTTTCGTGTAACCTTATCTCTAGTGGTTAGATAATGCCTCGGAGGCCCGCAGTGCATCATACGGTCACGGGCAGTCACCAACCTTCCTGCCTCCTTGAAGAAACTCAAGAGGTCCCGATTTGGCTTCAGGGCATCCTGTCTACAAACCATAACCGTACACACAAACAGTTACAAATTAGACACACACACATTTCTGCTGAGCAGCAAAGCAAAACGACAGGCAAGGCTGAGCGAGGAGATAACCTTGGAGTTCTAAATGTCCTATGGATTTGCATATTTATTGTTAAAACTCTGATATAGACAGCTGGTGAGCCAGATGGGTTTGTTGCTACTTTGCTTTCTGGGTAGGTTAAAGTCTTTCTAGAAACTTTCAGTAATATTAATGCTTGACATGAAGAGGAGTTTAAAAATGCAAAAAAAAAAAAAAAGCTGCAACCTTTGAATAAATTGTTATAATAATCTACAGACAACAGATTTGTCTAAAGAAGATGATCTCTTTTACCTCTTGAACAAGAGCAAAGAGAGGCTGAGGTGAAATCCAAAAAGTTATATACCTTTCCATATTCAGTGCATGTTGAATGATAACCTTATTGTTTGAACCATGGTGAAACGTGTTGCTGTTTAATTGGTTTAACACCTTCCATATGAAATAAACGTCATGTTTGTGTTTGTTCCTGAAGGCCGCGGTGACTTCCAGCCCCAGCTGAGCAGTGCCATGCAGGATGTGAGCGATAAATACATCCTCCTGGAAGAAACAGAGAAACAAGCTTTGAGGAAGGCTCTGATTGAGGAGAGACAAAGGTTTTGCTTTTTTGTGGCTTTGCTGCAGCCTGTAGTGGTGAGTCAAAAAAAAGAGGATCATTGTTTTGTTTTTTCATTCATGTTGCATTACTGTATACAAATCTGTTTATGGGTTTTCTACTTAGCATGTGCTTTGATGCTTTTAGGATGAAGAGACCTCCATGTTGGCAGAAGTTACCCACCTCCAGACCATCTCTGAGGACCTCAGGGCCTTGACCTCTGACCCAAACAAGCTTCCCCCTGCTAGTGAACAGGTATGGAGAAAAAAAAAAAAACTTAAAACACTCCAAAATGATGAATTATTGGTCAGTTTGTGTTTTTTTACAGCCCTGTAACAAACATTATTGGATTTTGCCTTACTATTAATATTCTCCTTTTATACCTACTTCTTTAAGGTGATCTCAGACCTGAAGGGCTCAGACTATGGTTGGTCGTATCAAACGCCTCCTTCTTCTCCCAGTACTACCATGTCCAGAAAATCTAGCATGTGCAGGTAAGCTCACGCAGCTTTGATCCTTATCTCTTATCTCATAGGTACAAATTTGTACCAATAATATATCTGGGATCATTTAGTTTTAAATCAGAAATTTGAACAGCCTTTAAAATCCAAACCGTGGCTGACATCTAGTGGCCAAGATGAGCTGGAGAAACAACTTTTGACCACAAATCTTTTCATACAGTGAAGTTTAACAAACATAAATTAGGTTTATCACACTGTGATGATAAAGTTTTTACGATTCAGAGGGCTTTCAGTTTTTTTTTAGCTGTTCAGACTTTGACTTTCTCTAATGGTTTCCAACCAGAACTGTTCTGTTTAAAGTCAGAGATCTACCTGGTGGGTTTTTCTTTGGATCTCCATCTATTCTGTTAACATTTTCTACAATGAATTCTTTGGTTTGAAGGGAATTTTAAAACTAGATTGGTTAGTATTGATATTTATTTGAAGGTGATTGATTAAAAAAGAATGTGTTTTGTTTTTTGATATAATATCTCACTTTATATGTGACATTTTGAATTTGACGATAGACACAATAGACAGTCTGTTTTCAGCTTTTTAATGAAAAGTGAATGTAAGCTAATTTTTTGTTCTGTCCAAATTACCTTTGGGGTTTTTTTATCTATTCTAAAAAGTAAAACTAAGTTGTGTATTTTGTCATCATTGTCCAATTTTAAATGTCACATATTTGGACAAGTTTAACAAAAAAAAAACATTGTAACAGAACAAAAACAGAGCATTCTCATTAAAATGTTCATCAATCTTTGCGATTTGTTGATTGGGATTGGGAATATTTCTTGCTTATTATTCGCAGTGATTTGTGTAGTCTAAATTGAAATAATCAGAATTTATTTGGTTCTTTTGTATTTTTATGTAATTGCTAAAGGTTTACCATCTGTATTTTTATGAGTTAGATTGGATCAGTTACTGCTTGCTGCATCGTGTCGTGTTAATCGTTTCCCACCCTGTCTCCTCCACATCCCCCGTTATCCTCTGCGCTTTATCTCTCCACTGTGGTCCTCTTTATCCAACCCTTCCTCCTGAACTCCTGTCTTTTGGATGCCTCAATTGTCTTTAACTCTTCACGTCGCTGCTAAACCTCTCCCGCTGGTCCTCCCGTTGTGCCATCCCTCCCGCCCCCTTTCACAGTAGTCTAAACAGCGTTAACAGTAGTGACTCCAGGGGTTCCGGTGGCTCTCACTCTCACTCTCCTTCCTCCTCTTCTTCCTCCTCTTCCTCACATCACCTCTTTCACCATCATCATCCCTGCCATCGATACCGCAGCTCCACGTTACCCCTGCAGGCCCCGGCTCGGCTCTCTAGCATCTCTTCCCACGACTCTGGCTTCATTTCTTCATCGCAGGACCAAAATGCTTCTTCCAAATCGTCTTCACCGATGCCAGCTGAAACAAAGGTAAGAGAGGGAACAGAGATACTCATATTTATTCCTGTTTTCAATAGAGCTCCCTGCTGAGAGTAAGTCTCCTTAAGACAGACAGTTTTGTGGCTGTGGTAAGCATGTGAAGTCATTTCAGTGCTATTACTGTAGCATAAATATGCAGGAAATTAGGCTACTTCCTTTCTAGCCCAGGGTAAAACAGGTCAGAGTCATCCTGCTATAAAAAAAACCACCGCTGTGACAGATTTTGGTTTGGCTAAACTTAAAGGCCTCAGAATACTTTCTGCTTTATTTTCATTAAATGAATCATAGTTAAATTATATGTTGCCTGTACGTCTTACATGCATTAAGAGTAGGTCTCCATCAGCGGGCCGCACTCGGCTCCGTCTGACCATTTTACAAAAGTTGTGAGATGATAACGAGCGATTGAGTCCAGGGGATTGTTCGTGCCAGCTTTGAGGCTTGCAGCCGACCGTGAGAGCAGCTGCTTTAGTCAACGTTGTGTCGTTTGCCAGCAACCAGAGTTCCTCAGCCCAGAACACACTGGTTTAGCCGGACTCCAAGTTTTTATAATTCACTGAAGGTGGTTTGGCAGCACGGAGCCTGACCCACATACAGTACAGCCCTGGGAATCACGCCTCATGTTTGCTCACCATGTGAACTTACAGTATCAGAGGCTTTAACTTTCTGAAGGAACTTTAACAAAGCTTCTTTGAAGGCCGTGCATCTACTGCTGATATAACTCTGCTCCTAGTGTTATCTGGTCTTTTTCTTCCTTACTAACCTGTGGAGACGTTGCTAAAACCACCAAACAGACTCCCCTGTGCCTGCACCATCTATATGTCTTTGCTTTAACGCTGTTTTCCCATCCATGCCTGTTTGTCTGTCCAACCTGCTCGCTCCACTTCCTGCCTGCTGCTCCTTGTCCTCTCCGCCCCAGCCTTGTCCCACTTCCAGCTCCTCTGAGACGTCAGAGACTGGGCAGCTTGATGGTGACTGCAGCAATGCCTGCTCTCTCTCTGCCACTTCGCTTCAGAGTGCTACTCACAAGGTGACAAAACCTCACAATGTAACAAAAACCACAAACCTGGGCATAATGAGAATCGGCTTTAATTCAGTTGAGGGAAATGGAGGCTGGCAAAAGGTGAAATATATTTTTCAGATTCTCTCAGGTTAAAAAAACAAACTTCATTGTTAAATGTTGCATTTTCATCCTATCTTTCTTTATACATTATAAAACTGCATTTCACTGCAGTCACTGATGCACCTTTTTTCTTTTTCAGCACTTCTTTGTAGAGTTCAGAGAAAACATTGATAAATTTTTATTAATAAATGCTTTAAGCCCAGTCATTAGGAATAGAAAGGATCTGTGGAGTTGAATTTCAAAGTCTAGCTTTTTATTGACCTTATTTTAAAACGCTGTGATCTAAGCCATCCTGTTCTACCTCTGTCCGTTTTCCTGCTGGAAGATCTTCACTAAAGGCTTTTATAGCCTTTAATAGTTTTCTTTTCACGCATCATCTATGACTTTCTTCCCTTTCTGCTAAAGAAGAGTATCCCACAACATTATGCTGCCACCACCATGTTTCACAGAGCAAACTGTGTAGTTTCAGTTTTCATATGTTTGAACAAAAATTATGGTGACCAAAAAGTTAAACTGTGTTCTAGTTTTGCCGGAGCTCTTCTACCTTTTTTCCCCTCTATAGGTCATAGCAAAATACAAATAGGATGTTTTCCTTTCATGGTTTCCTTCTTTCTGCTCGTTCATAAGTGCCACATTAGTGATAATACTCCTCCAGTGTGGCCATGGACCACTGGGCTGTTTCTTCTTCTTGCTCAGCCTTATGTTAAATTGAAACGCCTTGGTTGGTTCACCCTTTCAGACAGAGAACTAAAAAAAACGATCTGAAAGATTTTCTAGGCAAATGTTTGGTAATCCAACCCTGCTTGCCAACCATGTCTGCTCCTGGATGCTGCTTTTTCCACTGAGTTTCTCTTATAGACCTGCAGAGCACACCTGGACTCCATTTATTGATTTAAAGTCCTTTAAAGCTTATTGCAGGCACTTTGAATTGAATAAATAAAATGCATATAGTTTTAACAGTCACCTTAGTCTGCCACATCATTTCTTATAAAATAAATTGAAGTTTGTTGTTTTAACTTGACAGATATGAAAACAGACTAGAAATACTTTGCAACCATCTTTCAGTCTTGTTTTATCAGTTCAGCATTCACTCTGCTCCATATTGATGTTAGTTCATCTGCATCGATTTGTTTGTTTTGCTTTTAATAATTTATCCTGAGTTCTGTCTGTTTTTTTTTGTCATTATTTCATGTTTTGTTTCTTTTCCTTTAATTTGTCTCTGTTACCATCTTTGCATCCTCCCACCAACACCAGTTGTCCAACGGTTTCGACCACTACAGCCCAGCCAGTCCCTCCCACCTGCATAGCAACGGGGGCAGTTTGAGCCCAGTTTCAGGCACCGCCTTCCCATTCTTCCCTCCACCCTCTCCCTCCTCCTCCTCCTGCCCCACTCGTTCCTGGTCTCGCCCAGCCTCAGCCTTGCTGCCTGACTATCCCAACTACTGCACGTTGGGTTCTCCGATGGTACCTTCATCAAAAGTCCCCAGCTGGAAGGTCTGTCATCAGCTCATGCTTTCCATCCTCCTTGTCTACAGTTTGTTCTCATGTTCACCTAGTTTACTCAGCAGTTTTAGAGAACACGTTTTTGAAAATCAGAAATGTGGAAGATTATTGATAAACAGGGTTGTTTGCAGGACTGGGCGAAGCCAGGGCCTTACGACCAGCCAATGGTCAACACTCTGAGGAGGAGGAAAGACAAGGAAAGTCCAGCTGTGGTTGACAATGGCAGCATAAATAGTAACAGCATGCCTTCAGGCCAGACATCGATCTCTGCACCTCCCTCTGCTCAGACACAAACACCAAGCCAGCAGGAAGAGAAGAGCAGGATCCTGAAGGTCAGCTTCAGATTCCTTCTTTCACCAAAAGTCATTTCTATAATTAATTCAAAGTGCTGTGAAAAGGTATTTTATTGTTTGTTTGTTTTGCGGTCAAACCTAACTCTATCAGATTGTTAAATAAAATTTAAAATAAGATTATTAGATACTTGAGTAAACAAACCTCACTCCATGTTTAACAGTAACCCTCTTTGCCAAATGCCTGGATGATCCACCATCTGCAGCATCAATCTCCTTATCTTAAAATCCGTTTTTTACATCAAAGTGAAAAGCATTGAACCTTCTCCCCTTTGCAGTCTTTAATTCAACCATATTGGAGTTTTTTTTTGTTTTTTTTGACAGAACCTTATAGGAAATTTTTGTTAGTGAGCGGTACTGGGAATGTTAACCAATGTTCATCTGTTTTTAAATACTGACCAAATCTGGTTTGCTGCAGCACCCAAAGCTTTAGAAATGACTTTATAGTTGATTGTACTTTTTTTTAATTTCACGTGATCAGGGCATGATGTGTTGTGTTTTAAGATGATTAAGCATACTTCATGTTGTCAGTCAGGTTCTATTTAATTCATTTCCTGATTCTTCAGGTCTAGTTAATTATTAAAATCTACAAATGGTTTATAAACAATAATTTCTTAACTGATTTTTGTTGTTTGTTTCCTTTTGTTTTGTTTTTGTTTTTCTTTTAATTTACTCTTTGTCAGATTGAAATTAGATCTAAAATGTTTCCAATTAGCAAACTCTGATTCCTGAAGCAGTTACATGTTTTTGGAAAGTAGGCTGACAGGAAAGCAGTTACATGTATAACACAGGGGGAGAGACATGTGGCAAAGGACCACAAGCCGAATTCGAACCCGGGTCAACCAAGTCGAGGAGTAGGGCCTCTGTACATGGGTGGTGCGCGCTAACCACTGTGTTACTGAACACAATAGAACGTTTTTATAAAAATGATTAACTGATGGATGCAAGCAGTTGATTTTTATCCACATACATTGTTTTGCATGCAATGCCATCTGCTAACTGTGAGTGAACAACAAAATCCGCCTGCAGCAGACCAGTGTTGTAGTAACGGCACGTAAACGATTAATGTTCCCAGTTAATGGCCTCAGTTGATTGGGCTTAATTACTTTAATAGCTAAAATAAACTGCACATGGCTTTATCCATTCAAAGTCTAATGTCTTGATTTTTACTTTCCCCCACATGTGGATTATATCTGGCTGTGTCAGGCTGATGATCTAGAGGCCCAAAGTGAACTGGCCTTGGCCTTATCCAGGGGTCTGGAGCTGGACACCCAGAGATCAAACAGAGACTCCATCCAGTGCTCCAGCGGCTACAGCACTCAGACCAACACACCCTGCTGCTCTGAAGACACCATACCATCACAAAGTACAACAGTTTGTGGCTGGAGTTTTTGTATCATACTGATCATGATCAGGGAGGTAACCTCAACATGTTGACCTCTTCCAGTTTCAGATTATGACTACTTCTCTATGGCTGGAGACCAGGAGCCTGAGCAGGAACAGCAGCAGCCGTCCGACTTTGACAAGTCCTCCACTATCCCCAGAAACAGTGACATCGGTCAGTCCTACAGACGCATGTTCCAGACCAAGCGTCCTGCCTCCACAGCCGGTATGCCCAGCACGCAGCCTCCCTATCCTGGACAGGGGAACTACCATCCTGCCACACCAGTCCACACGGGATCCTATCCTCCTGCTGGGCCGTACACTGCCGCTTCCACTGGTACAAATAACTCACAGATGTTCACTAGCACTCCTTAGGATTGGAGCACCCTTTATGAAGGACTCATCCTACCTCTGTTTTCCTTTCAGCAGGTCACGGTCAAGTTATTGTCACCCCTGGCGTTGCCACAATCCGCCGCACGCCCTCCTCCAAACCCTGCGCCCGTCGCTCAGGCTCTGTGGGCGGAGGACCCATTCCTATTCGTACTCCGGTGGTTCCTGTGAAAATCCCCACGGTGCCTGACGTGTCAGGAACAATCAATGGGAGCAGGACTCCAGAGGAGATCGGACGAGGAGAGGAGAGCTTGCATTCCCCAACATTCGCACAACCAGCAGAAGCTGGTAGCCTTCCTACGACTTCCTGGAGGGGCCAGGCCTCCACCAACCCTCCGACCTTTCCCCTGCCCAGCCAGGCGGTCCAGCAGTACCAGGGAGGGGGCGAGGATGCTGACGAGCAAGATGAAGGAAACATGCTGGTGGCTATCCGTAAGGGGGTCAAGCTGAAAAGGACCCTGACCAACGATCGTTCAGCTCCACGCATCGCCTGACGACATCATCCTGTTGGAGAGCTGCAGTCACTAGAATCCTGATCCTTTCTGGCAGATTTCCACTGAAAAAAATATTTGTGAATCTGGTGAAAAGCTTTAAAAAGGAAAAAAAAAACCTTTCTGTGTTAATAGGAGGCACCAGATGACAACCACTCTAAGACATTTGACATTGACTCAGTTTGAATTATTCTGAGGTTGTTTTTGTAGTCATCCAGCTCTGGATCAGAGTGCCCCCTTGTGGTTGTTTCTATATTAAATTTTTATATATATATATATATATATATATATATATATATATATATATATATATATATATATATATATATATACAAATCACAAGCCATAAGAGAGCACTAACATCTCAGACATTGAAGATCTGAACCAAAACACTTATTATTTCTGCAGGGTTGAGGTATTGTTGTGTTTAAACTGTGTGGAATGTTAGAATAATCTCCTGTGAATATTTTCTCTAAAAGAAAACAAAACCTTCAGCTTGTTATATATGAAAGTAAAATAACCACTGTCTGACACCATCAAAGGAAGACCAACCGTCTCATATTTTGGTGCCTTTGCAGAAGTCATTAGTTGGAGCACAAAGAGTGCAATATTTAGGTTCTATTGAAGGTACCTTAGTGGCTGATTGACACAAAGCTGTCCTTCACAGCTCAGAGACATAAGCACAGCACAATCCACAGGATCACATGTCTGAGTTTCTTTGTATAGCTTAGAGAAGTAGTGCAGATAGAAGTCGGCGGATTAGTTCTGAAATATTTGCTCACTTTAGTTTTTTTTTATAATTTGTAAATAATTTAGCAAATCTCAGTGGAGGATGAGTGTGTTGGTTTTTTACCTTCTTTGCATACCTGTTGTTCTACTTCATCTTGACAATTTCAGTTTCAGAACTTTAGAAAGATGTAATTATCATTACCCTTCCCTGCATCAATTTGGTTTCCTGTTAAATTCTCCCCCATGTTTCGGATTTCTAATTTGTTTATTCTGGCAAGAGATATGTGAAATAGATTTGTTGGTTTTATTAATTTACTCTCTATTATAGCAGAGTATCAATGTGCCATATCAAGATACCACAGTAATAGAAATCTCAACTGAGACAAAGTATTTTTGATGTAAAGATTCTGTAGGCCAAGTTTATGGGAGTAACAAGGATGTATTTCTGCTTACATCCACTATGTACAAATATAATTTCCCTTAAAAGGAGGATATCACAAAAATATATGATTTATAAACCATAAGTAACCTTTTAGTTGTTGTTTTATATAAACTATGACAGGATGATGGGATATGAGATTAATCCTCATACATCAGCATTAGAATATAAGCTAAAGAGGCTAATTAGTGCTACTAGGTCTACAATTGATTTGCATTTCAGTTCAAGCACTGTGAGAGCATGGCTACTACAAGATGTATGAAAATGTAAATAATTTTCACCGTTGGTCAGTCCAGGAGCTCAAACACACACAACACGTTTAATTTATTTTCTTTTTTCAGTGTTTTAATTTTTTCTGGGTTCTCATTTATTACTACTTTGTCCTTTAAAAGATCAAAGAGACAAAGTTGCTTGTTAGTTTTCAGTGTAAAAAAATGTAAAACAGATCAGAGTTTAGTGTGCATCAGTATTAGAAGTTCAAACTTCATGATTGTGCACAGCATTATTGTAAATGTTCCTCTGAGTCGGTACAGATGTCTATTGGTTTAGTTTATTTGCTTGTACAGTTGTTTTTTGGCGTGGCTGAACATTGGACTGAAACCATTATATGAACCAACATGACAGCTGTTTCCTGAAGGCAGTTTCATTTTGATAGGTCCACTTTCTTTTCTGTTTAAATGTCTATACTATCAACTTGTTATTCCCATAATAAAATTATTAGCATAAATATATGATATATATATATAACCTATGAGTAAGAAGTTTATAGTTTGTAAAATTCTAAACACACAGTTTAACCTGTGATGTAGTTTAGTTTTTAGCTCATTTTCTCCCAGTGGAGAGTTGACCTCTTCCTGCCTGTATAGTTCAAGCTTCATTGCAGTTTATTTTACCAGATAAAAGTGATCATTTTAGAAATATAATAAAAAAAGTGTAATTAACCTACCCTGGCTCACTTTTTGTTTCTATTTGTTTTGTTTTCTTGATTGTTTGTTTTTTCCAATATTTTTTCCAAAAATTTAGTGTAAGACAAGAAACATTTCAAACCATGAGAAACAGAAATTATTCATTTTTTTCTACCTCTTTTAAGGACAAACATTTAATATGGAATTGCAAAAAGAAGAGGATGTACCAATCTTTTCGAAACAAGAAACTGAAAGATTATATTAATCAAAACTTTGAAAAGTACACCAAGTTAATTTTATAGAGGAGCATATTTCACCATTGCAATCCAAATTTCATATTCTTAATTGGGGATTTAAGTGATACACTAATGTATCACACTATTGGCAACTGGAGGGGAAAATATTTGACATCACTGAATAAAATCCATTTTAGTTTACTTTTAAAATTGACAAATTTAAGCCAGTATAAATCAAGTTTTTGAAAGGTAAGATTACAGGGCCAGCATCATGAAGAACAAGGAAAACAGCGCCACAACGGTCAGGTTTAGATTAGGGTTAGTTTGTAAAACTATATCCCAAGCTTTAAGTATCTTATTAGTCTTTGTTTAATCTATCATATAAAAAGGGAAACATGAACATTTGTTAACCCATAAATAAATGGCCTTCAACATAAAGTGAAAGGCAGGGGGTGTAGATTAAATGTATGATAGATTTTTGTGAATTTTTGTATAGAACCGCCCTCTCCACTTAAAATGCACTTGCGCAACCCTGTACCCGCTCCCGAGGGAACGCCTATTAAGTGTGAGAGCGTGCACCTTGTGCACGCTCTATTTAAAAGTTGCTGTTGCATGCTCGTACAGCTTACTTTCCAAAAGAAGTTTGCAGTTTTTCCACTATGTCAGACTCATCAGCTGTAAGTGAAAATGGGGATGAGCACATAGGACGGCCTTACGTAAACACATCACCAGAATAATGGACAATTAGGAGGACCACTTATTTTGATGATCCACCTGGAAAAAGAACATCCTCCACTATACCTTTAATATGGATCTGAGAAGCATCAGACGGGCCCGTTGTTACATTGGGGGAGCAGCAATAATCCCTTGCTCAGGTGGGAACATTTATTGAAGGGCTGTAAGCTCTACAAATCTGGGCTTTAATGAAGATAGAAACTGTTTATAGCCAAATTCCCATCTTTTTTAAAAGGTTGTAAACCAGAAATCATTATTTCCTCAACTGCTTTACTGTTCATTGTTTTGTAGATCTGTCATTTTAAGCTAAATGAAACACATTTTTGTAATGTGACAAACTGTACATGTAATGGTGGGGTGTTGGCCGGCCCTAAACAATTTGGTGCCCTAGGCAAGATTTTAGCTGCCACCCCTTTGCATCACTGTGCAGTACTTGCATGTCTGCTAGAGTAAATATACTCACAAGAAACTAAAAAGCTTTGTCTTGGACATTTTTTTATTTACATAAAACAATTTTCACATTTAAAAAAAACTTAAAAATAATTAAAGAAACAAAAAATGAACATATGAAATACAATATAAAAAACTTATATAAATTATTACACTCTCAAAAAAAGTGTAAACAAGTGACTTTAATTTAAATGCAATATAAATGGCTTATATAAAGTATTAAATTTAAATACTCCCAAAAAAGTGTAAACAAGTGACATTAAATACAATATAAATATGGCACTGTGCAAAGTAAGAAATCAAAGAAATGCGTAGGCACAAAAAATACAATGATTTAAATAAAGGAAAAAAAATAACAGGATAGTTCTAGTGGTGTTTTTAGTCTCCCTTAACTTGAATTACTTCAAAAACTACATACTCTCACATGACTACAACTTTACTCTCCTGGATTTTCTTGAAGCAAAGTCATCTACAACATCATCATATGACAGCTGATTTGAGATCACATGATTAATGCTTATGATGGAAAGTCCACTGAGACATTCTTGGATCATAGTAGATCTCAGGTAAGTTTTAATCAGTTTAAGCTTGGAGAAGCTTCTTTCAGCAGAAGCCACCTTAAGAGGAAGAGTGGCAGAGATTCTTAGAGCAACCCACATGTTGGGGTACATTTCTGCTAGTTTCTTCTCATGCAGGAAGGCTAAAAGTTCCAAGTTTGTCATGTTTGTTGATGGCAATGGGAAATGTTGCATTTCCCTTGTGAGTTCTGCTCCATCAATGTCCTGCTGGCTGTCCTGGGTCAGAGCAGCACTTAGAGTTTAACACTTCTGTAGCAGATCTTTTTCTTCTAAGTTGGGGAAATCGAGGAGCACACCAAACATGTTATTCACTTCTCCAAGATTCTGAAATCTCTCATCAAGTGAAGAAATGGCAGTATCCATGACAACATTAAAAATGTGGTTTACATTTTTGGTAGTGCATCTTGAATGGGCTCATCTGGACACTCATAGCCAAAGTGAGTTTTTGTGGTACTCAATTCCTTTTTTTTTTTTAGTTCAGCCTCCACATTCATGTCTTCACACATCTCCTTTGCTATTGTCTGTGCATCAGAAAATCCAGTGTTTTTGTAACTGGTGAGGGAATCTCTGGTTTTCCTCAGCAAGTCGACAGCTACATCAAGCTGCATGGAGGGTGACTGCATCAGTTTACTAACATGCCGGATTTAGCAGAGAACGTTATACCATATGGCTGCACAAATGCAAAAGCAAAATGATAATAATGTCTAATAATAAACAGATGATTTAAGGAAATAAAGTCAAATTAAATTAAATAATATAAACAAAAAAAGATGCATGCAGGATGTACACTATCGTTTATATTATATAATTTTTGGATTAGTAATAATTCATATTACTGTAATTTATTGTTATTACAGTGAACTGCAAACTGCAGTATAATATACTATAGCATGTGGGAATGCTAAGGTTACTGTAACATTAACACTTTAACACTAACATAGTTTAACATGATGAACAAGCTTAATAATAATATGAGCTATAACACAGCTAATAGCTAGGCTCATAACTATGGAAAATTAATAGTATTTTGAATGACTAATTCCACCTGGGAAAAGGTAAAATAATCATGTCAATGGTAACATTATAATATCTGCTGAATAAATCTAATATATACACAATTGCCGGAGGATGGCAAGATGGGGGCACTCAAACCACTATTTTCCAACAACTGGGCCCTTCCATAACATGGACTGATTTTAAAACTAA